ATTAGTAGGGTGAAATGTAGTCTAAAAAAACAAAAAATTTTCACGGCGGTATATAAATAACCGCCGTGAAAAGTCACATGCCACGACGGTTCTTAAACTGTCATGAAATCCTCTACATTTTACGTCGATGGTATAGACGTCAGTCTTAAAACCGCCGTAAAAAGTTTATTTTAACTGCCGTTAAATTTTTTTTGTAGTAGTGCAAAGGAGATATTGAGATAAACAAAGAGGAGGATGAACATGCTATCGAATTAATTAATAATTAATCTTTTGAAGTAATAAGCTAAATTAGTCTGATAATATAATACTGTTGAACCTCAGGTTTTTCTCACTGTTTTGAAGATCCTACAAATGCAAATGTTTCTCATGTATGATTCATTGAATTTCAAATTTTGATTTTTTAGCGTATGAGTGTCAGAAAAAAGATTTTATATAAGCAAAATATACTATTTTCAATCTTAATCATAACACCTCTTTTATAGATTATATATAAAAAAATCTTATAATTAGAAACAGAAATGGTATACTAAGAGAATTGAAAAAAAAAAAAACTCCTGTTAAATTTTTTGTTTTTCGAGAGAGAGGCTATTAAATAAGTATACTTTCACCTTTTTGGCCAAACAAAATCTCATCACCTTTTTCCGGGGCTCTCTTGCTTCTTTTGGTTCTTTTTTAGCACTCAGAGGGATAAGTATAATAGGCTCATGAAATATGAATTTTATACAAGATCTAATATAAACACTTCAAATATAAAATTTTTAATTTACTCTTTTCTCAGATATAAGTTTTGTTTTTTAAAAAAAAGATTAAAATATACTCTTAGTCTTTTTAATTTTATTTGTTTCAATTTAGTCTCTTAACTTTAAAAGGTTTATTTTTATTTTTTTTGGTCCTAAAACCATTAACAAATAATGATAATATTGAGATCCTGATAAAATATTCTCAAATATTAACTTATTAAATTTATTTTTAAAACAACCGCTGATTGTTCTAAAAAATTATCATTTAAGACTAAAGATTTAAAAAAAAAGCCTCTAAATACTTTTAAAGTTGAAGAACCAAATTAAAACCTTATATAAAATAAAAGACCTTACATATACTTTGACCTTGAAGTTTTAATGTTAATTGTTAAGATTAATTTTATTTTAAATTATGTATTTATTAAGATAAAAGTTGTTTTAAAAAATTCAATTGAATATGAACCGTTCAAAATCGATTTGTTAAAATTAAGTAATTTAGTTATCTTTTCTAATCCATCTACATTAAATAAATAGATCTCACATTGAGGATGGGAGGAATTTTACTATCAATCCTTGTTTTCTTGTGTCGTTATCTTCTTCTTTTTTGGCTACTTTTTTCTATATTTTGTAAACCGTTATTATTACAGTTTAGTTTGATATTAAATGTCTGGCCCTTCTAATGTTTAGCTTCATGTTTTTCCCATTTGTACTAGACATGCTTAAGTCATTTAAAAAAGAAAAATAATTGGTAGGAAAAATTGCCAACATCATAAGTACACGAGTCATGCCGAGAAAAAAAAAAGAAGAATTGCAATTAGGTCCCACCCAAAGGAATTAAAACAAAAGGTCTTTTAAAATCATGAAATTATTCTGAAGTCTTAAGAGACCTTTTTTGAAATAAATTTTATTTGTTTAATTACCAAATTATTATTTTTTTAAAGTTCGTATTGACAACTGAAAAAACAATAGTTAACAACTTAAGGTATAAAGATTAACAACTATCGCAGCTGATTTGACAACAGATTTTCTCAGTATATCACACCCTAAGTTGTCAAACCAGTCGCGATAGTTGTCAATCTTTGCACTCTAAGTTGTCAACCACTGCTCTTTCAGTTGTCAATGTAAACTTTAAAAAAAAAAAGAATAATTTGGTAATTAAACAAATAAAATTTATTACAAAAAGGTTTTTTAAGATTTCAGAATAATTTCATGATTTCAAAGCACCTGTTTGTATTTAGTTTTCTTGGATGGGACCTAATTGCCATTTTCCCAAAATAAAATGAGCATAGTTATTTTTCCTTGGAGACCTGCGCAATTATAACATATTGTTCACTAATTAACTAATTGCCTTTAAAATTAATTAAAATACAAATACCAACAAATATAAACAACATCGGGAGGTAGGTTAGATTTTTATTAATCCACTAATTACTATGGTGAGTCATATTTTTCTAGACAATCGATTATAAAGCTTTCTTATTCATCCAAAAGATCCCTTATGTTTATAAATGATTTACAAATCACTTATAAACATGCCATAAACTAATTTTATAGTTCTTCATAAAATTCCAAATATACTCTATAGGTTAATATAAATAGCAAGAAATGAAAAACTGAATTGAGTAAACACAGGTCTCAATACAATCAACCGGCAAGCATAAAACGCAAGCATCTAAAGAGCGATTAGCTTAATAAGAAATCTAGCTTAACCAGGAGATTGCCAATCGCTCTTGATTTATATTTTTATTTTTTTATGAAGAACAAAATGATTTTACAAAACAAATATAGTACAATACAAAGTACTACCTTTGGTCCTTAATAAAGAGTTTGTTTAATTTTTATTTTGGTCCTAAATATAAACCCCAACCCTTTTATCTCTCATATTTATCTATTTTTTTCCCAAATAGTTCTCGTAATAATGATAATTCTAGCCAATATATTTAATTAGCAAGAATATTTTACGAAAAACAAACATATTTACTCCTTTGGTCTTAAAATAAGACCCTTATACACATAAGACCCTTATATTAGTGTGTATAAGGGTCTTATATTTAGAATCAGAAGAGTATTACAAAAAACTAATTAGTTTTTTTTAATCCACTCAAATTAGTCTACTGACTCTTTTATTAAAGACGGAGGTAGTATAAAGAGATCCAAAAGAAATCGAACTAAAGGGAAAAGTTTAAAGTTAACAGAATCAAAGGAATAGTTCTAAAAACCTATGACAGATTTTCTGCTATACAGATTGATATCGATTGGTGCTTTGAATGGAAAGGACGGTTAGATTACACAGATGATCATAACAGAGTCAGTAACATTAATTTGCATTAACCAAAAATTCAAGCATGAAAAAGCACTGTTTTAAGGTTTAAATGAAACAGGCAATAGGTACTAACAGGCGTCCAACGGATGAAGCACCTAGAGCAACAATTTGCTACTGTCCTACGTGAACAACATCAAATCTTATTAGCAAGTGATGAAAGGTTCGATTTTGCAATAACTAGATTAAGAAAACACATACATCACTCAAATGAAAGGGTAAAATTAGTGAATCAGAGAGAAGCAAGTGAAGAGGGAGGAGGCTTCCTGGCCTTAGTGGATTGCTCAAAGTCAAAAGCAATCTCAATGAGTTTTGGTTCAGATCCTTTCAAGCCTCCAAAACAGATCCCAAAGGGCATTCCAGATTGATCATACCCACCTGGCACTGTGATTGCAGGATAACCCTCCAATTGCTAGCATTGTAGCAGCATCAGATCCTAGTGTACCAAACCATCCAATTCATTCTCCTTCATTACCTTCTCAAACCCTCCTTCTGATAGCTCTTCCAACCTCTTCACTGCCTCTATCTCTTCTTCTCCAAACCCATCTGTCATCTCTGATGCAGCAAGCTGTTCTTGCCCGTACTCCTCTGTCATTTCCTACAAGTTCAAATACAGTTTATCATCAGTTACTACTAAATAAAACATACGTGTGATTCTTAGTATAATATCCAAAAAGAAATTATCATCAGTGTAGTTGTGGATACTATTCCCTGTAGATGACAGCTTGCCGTTTTGTAAGGCCAGTCATGGGAATAATGCAGCTATGAGAGGATTTATACAAGCTAAAAGGTGAGGATTGCTCTGGCCTAGATGTAAATGAAGGTAAATATGTTGTGAACTGAGTGTATGCGCGCGCGCGCGTATTAAAGAACTAGCTATATGCAGGAGAAAACGAAGTTAGCTTTATCCTGTTGTGATGAAGATGCTTACCAGATCAGGATGATCAATGTTGAATTGAATAATGTCAGCCAGAGACCTAACGGGAGAGGAAATGAGGTCCTTCAGATATTTGTTTATGGTCGACTTGAATTCTGCTAACAAAAGTACTGCTTCACCACTCTCGAAAGGATTTTGAATGATGCTGATATTGGCTATTTCTAAATTATCCACCACAGTCGCACCCTTCCCCCTTCAATTTGCACAAATCACAATCTTCAAAATCCATAATAGTAAACATCTGTACTATAAAGCTCATAACAGATTAATGAAATAATGTTACCAGTATTGTTACCTTAAGGTGTTGAGATGATGCTCAAAGACGGAAATGGCCAGAGATCCTTTATAGGCGTCAGAAAATGGATTCCTGACAACTCCAAGTCTCTTTCCTTTGAGTCCTTCCTTTCTGAGGAATTGCTTATAACCACCTCGAGGTATATACTCTGCTGCAGAATGTGTTGATTCATCTGTGGGATCAAACCCCGCAATCACGTCAAGCACGTGGACTGCATCTGACACTGTTCTGCATATTGGCCTACCATATACACACTCATTCCAATTAAACATGTACTCAAACTCTCAGTCAAAGCCAGACAAGAAAGAAATTATAGAGGAAATCACAAATGATCCTTTCACTTTACTTTGCAGCTTGGACTGGCTAGAAAGAGAAGATTACCCGATAGTGTCTTGACGAGGTGACATTGGGATGACGCCGGCCCTGCTCGTGAGACCGACGGTGGGTTTGATGCCGACGACGGAGTTGTGATCGGCCGGACAAATGATGGAGCCATCGGTTTCAGTGCCCAAAGAAACGGAAACCATGTTTGCAGCCACTGATATCGCTGGTCCAAAACTTGACCCACATGTATCCCCCGATGCTACATAAGGATTCTGCACAAAGAGGGATCAATTCCATAAATGTAGTCGAATTAGTAATATTTGTCAATCAAATATGTCGACATTAATTCCAGTAGAGAAAAGGAAAAAAGGAAGGAGAAGAGACCAGGGCATGCCCCCCTCTGGCGCACCAATTAGAAGGCACACGTGCGGAGCGAGTGCCGTACCACTCCGACAGAGAAGCTTTGCCAAGTATGACGGCGCCGGCTTGCCGGAGTCTCTCCGCCACGTGCGCGTCACGTGGAACCTTAGAACCCAACAATGCAAAGGACCCTGCGCTGGTGTTGAGCTTGTCGTCGGTGGCAATGCTGTCCTTGAGCAGTACCGGTATCCCATGGAGTGGTCCCAGTGAGGACGTAAACACTGGATCCCTCCTCTCCCGATCAGCCTCCTCCGCCTGAGCTCTCGCATCAGGGTTCACCTCCAGTACGCTGCGAAGTATGGGATTGAGGCTGCTGATCCTCTCCAAGTAGAAGTCAACCAGCAGTGTGGAGGTCAGCTTGTTTTCTGCAAAAGCTTTCTGGATGTCATCAATGGTGGCTTCGCTAATGGTGAAATCGGAGCCATTGATCGGTTTGACCCACCCGGTCAGAGTCACTGTTACGAGAACAACAGAGAAAAGCAGACGTTTCGACGAATGCTTGGTTCTCATCTTGTTCATTAGTATCTGAGTTTGAGGATAGCTGGGAGTAATCCTCAACCTTAATTAACCCTAATTACCGTCTTAATGGGGCCCCATTTCATTTCACGTGAGTTTGACCACGGTCATGAGTAGTTCTTATGCTTAATTAATCAATCCTTAATAGAGTCTCTGGATCAGAGCAAAACTTTAAATAAGATTGATATAAAATAGGGCGAAAACTGATGAGAAAGAAAGACGACGATGCATATCTTTTTGGTGAATTTCAGATTCATCCTTTCTCTTCCATCCCAGTGCGCAAACAGGCTCTTGTTTCAATCTGTAACACTTTCAGCATGAGGGAGTTCGTTTATGCGGGCTGCAATGCTCAGGAGGGAAAAGGAGAAGAGGTGGGGAAGGGAGCTTAGGAGAGAACGTATTTCCGTTTATGGGTGGAAAAAGGAAAGTGGACTTCCCTTTTCTTATCAAAAGCTTTTGAAATTTCAAATGCTCATAATGGCAAATGGGTTTCCTGCCAAGGATGGGGTCAGAGCAGCTTTTGGGGTAGGGAAACGAGATGAAAAGACTACAATACCCATAAGACCATGAGACAAAAGGCACTTGTATTAATTAGTTAGTACTTCCGCCCACGAGTGCTACTTGACTATAATTACTAGTCTTAAAACTAATTTTATAGTAGGTGAAATAAATATATAAGATGAATTTTTAATTTATATGAAATTTTTTTAAAAAAATACTTTCAAAAGAAACCAAATATCCTCTAAATATAAAATATACAAAATAAATATATGAGATGAATTTTTATCTTGATTTACATAAAATATATTTTTAAGTAGTTTTGACCTACAAACTGGTTACCAAAGATAGTAAATAGAATAAATTAAAAAATAAAATAAAACAGGAAAAAATGATAGCAAAATACCATGTGAATTTCAGAAAGACAAATAAGGCACCTGAATAAGCAAAATGACAAATAGGGCACTGGGTACCAATTCGGAATTTAGATTTTTGGCCTAATGACCGAATTGCCCTGATGAGTGAGGTAAAAAGGAGCTGAAAGTGAGAAGAAAGCAAACAGAGGAAGACGTTAATGAAACACGGGAAGAATGAAAGAAGAATGTTGGAAATGCTATTATCTTACTCCTCCGTATCACTATTCTGTAGACATGGTTGATTTGGTAGGTTTTGGTTGTGGGAAAGAGAATTTGTAGTAAGAGAGGGAGTGAACCTGTAGGATTACGTGAGTGAGTAGAAGTTGATGGCGGGATTTGGATTATTCATTTTTGTGCCTGCTTCGTGGTGAAATAAGAACAGGATTATTGCATTTGAGGGTTTATATTCAGTATTTGGTGAATGATGAAGCAGAAATCAGAAAATAGTGGCAAGCAATTACGTAATGTAACTGTTGTCATATGCCTGCTGGTTTTTAGTAAATCTCATTACGTGAATGGTAGATTTTATTATACATGTAGTTAATTATGAAAGTTAATACATTGCCCTATCTGAAATAACTCGTACTCCCTGAGATTGTCGCCGTCGAAGAGGTCGTTGAAGTAACACCAACTGTGATAAACAAGTAGGAAGCTTAAATATTATTCTTCATAGAGAATTTTCAATGAGTCCCCATAGCTTAAAATGTTATTGTCTAGCATTCCTCTTTTCGGTCCTGTCTTTGTTCTTCGCATAAAACCATTTTCAGAGAATGTGAAGCTGTCTGGTTTTCTAGTATTATTAAACCATTTGTCCTGAATTTTACAAAACACATATTGTGATTTACAAATTTCGTAGTGAAAGTGACCCCTTTGTTAATGGGTTTTGCAACCTGTTTTCAAGAGATAAACAACTTATTTGTAAAAACTAATAAAATTCCACACTAAATTTGACATAACATATAGTGGGATTTACAGCTTTCGTAGTGAAAATGACCACTTATTTAATGGGTTTTGCAACTTGTTTTCAGGGGATGAGCAACTTGTTTCTAAAAACTAATAAAATTTCATGCTAAATTTGACAAAACACATAGTGAGATTTACAACTTTCGTAGTGAAAATGATCACTTCTTCAATGGGTTTTGCAACATGTTTTTAAGAGATTGGCAACTTGTTTCTAAAAGCCAATAAAATTCCATGCTGAACTTTACAAAACATATAGTGAGATTTACAACTTTCGTGGTGAAAATGACCACTTCTTAAATGGGTTTTGCAACCTCTTTTCAGGGGATGAGCAACTTGTTTTTAAAAATCAATAAAATTTCATGCTGAATTTTACAAAACACACAGTGAGATTTACAACTTTTATAGTGAAAATGACCACTTCTTAAATGGCTTTTGCAACCTGTTTTTAGGGGATAGGCAACTTGTTTCTAAAAGCCAATAAAATTTCACGTTGAATTTTATAAAACATATACTGGGATTTATAACTTTTATAGTAAAAGTAACCGCTTTGTTAATAGATTTTGCAACATATTTTTAGGGGATGAGTAACTTACTTTTCACCACTAATAAAATTTCACGCTGAATTTTACAAAACACATAATGGGATTTACAACTTTTATAGTGAAGTGACCACTTCTTCAATGGGTTTTGTAAACCTGTTTTCACCGAAAGGACAACTTGTAAGCATAAATAAATCATTTAGTGAACATGCACCTGAAGTACATCACAATAAATATTGAACTATTAACTTTTATAATTAACTACATGTATAATAAAATCTACCATTCACGTAATGGGATTTACCAAAAATCAGCAGGCATATGATAGCAGTTACATTACGTAATTGCTTGCCACTATTTTCTGATTTCTGCTTCATCATTCACCAAATACTGAATATAAACCCTCAAATGTAATAATCGTGTTCCTATTTCACCACAAAACAGCCACAAAAATAAATAATCCAAATCCCGCCATCAACTTCTACTCACTCACGTAATCCTACAGGTTCACTCCCTCTCTTACTACAAATCCTCTTTCCCACAACCAAAGCCCACCAAATCAACAATGTCTACAGAATAGTGATGTGGAGAAGTAAGATAATAACATTTCCAACATTCTTCTTTCCTTCTTCTCGTGTTTCATCAACGTCTTCCTCTGTTTGCTTTCTTCTCACTTTCAGCTCCTTTTTACCTCACTCATCAGGACAATTCAGTCATTAGGCCAAAAATCTAAATTCCAAATTGGTACCCAGTGCCCTATTTGTCATTTTACTTATTCAGGTGCCTTATTTGTCTTTTTGAAATTCACATGGTATTTTGCTGTCATTTTCCTATAAAACAGTTAATGATAATAAATGTAACATAATTTCTCTTAATATTAATTTATAAGTTATAGATATTAGTGTGAGAAAAGATGATGAACATGGAAGATAAAATAAATTGATATGTTATATTTATGACCAAATCTAATCCTAGTTAGCTCTTATAGTAGTGATATAGCAAGTATTATAATCTAAAATATTCGAAAGCATACATATATAATTAATTAATTTTAAAATAGCATTATGCATTAATTTAGGGGGAAAAAACTTAACTCAAATTGCTTATATTCATTATATCAAGTTCTCAATTACAAATGATTATATGCCTTTTTTTTTGTTTCATGTGAATTTATAGTTAAATACTATTAAATGTCAATATTTCAAAAATAAGACATGTACTTGTGTGTTATTGGAAAACTTGATATAATAAATATAAACAACTTGATGTAAATATTTTGAAAATTTTAGATTTTTTTTTTTTGTCATTCTCACCAGTCATGCAACACCCCTCTAAAGTGACAATAACAAGTACACAATGGTGTGGGTATAAATTGATTTGGTTACATGATCTCTTATACATATAAAATTATGTGCATATAATTTGGTCTAGCCATTTTTAGTCAATCATATTTATTAATTAAATTTTCTACATCTTGGACTAATTAAAATTGCATTGCCCTAATCCTTCTTAATTACATATGAGCAATGCTAGTTGCATATACAGAGCAACAATATCCAAAGTCGCATCAAATTAAAATATTTCAATACATATTCTTAATTTATATTATATGTAATGCATACATCCAAGATTATTTTTGAATTCAACAATACTATCTTAGGACCTTGTTTCTTATAAGTAGGACTGGAGGTAGTACAATACATACATCTATTTATTTTTCTCATCAAATGAGTGCGCGCGCGCACTAGGGCTTTTATTGTAATATCTTAAAGTTTATTTTAGGTTAAAAAAATTTCCAAAATAAATAAATAAATATAAATAAAATAATAACATTTTAATTTTAAAAAAAAATTTAAAGTCAACTTTCCACCGAAATTCGGTGGAAAGTTGAATGTGAAAGTTGAAAGTGAGGGGTGAAGGTTGAAAGATGAGAGTTGGGAGTTGAGAGATAGAAGAGAAATATGAGGGGGCCTAATAAATGTGTGGGAGTGTTAAACTATCCAGTTCCCCGGCACAAGAAGGAAAGAGAGAAAGAGAGATAGAGGGGGTGAGAGAAAGAGGAGCAAACCGGTAAAAGAGAAAACAAGCTTTGAAGATATTTTAGGTACATAAAATTACTTCTTTTTATCAAACTTTCTTTATGAATATTTTCTGTATATTTTAAGCTTCCTATTTATATTATTACTATAGTGATTAGAGAAAATTTTGAGAATTATATATGATATAAATATGGAGTTTTGGTAAAAGATGATCATGAAAATTTAGAGGTAAATGAGTTGTTAATTTTAATTAGTTAGATTTGTTCATTTGTTGGTTTTTAGTGCTTAAATGAATTTTTCTAGTTGAAAAATCTGGCATATATGATTTATATTATATTTTTACCGATTAAAATTAAGTTAAATAATTTATTTGGGTACTTTGACATATTATTGAGATTTTAATCGGTTTAGTATTATTTATCAGGTAATTGAAGATTTTAAAATAATTATTTTAGCTAAAAAATTTATTATTCATGAAAATATATATATGATAGCTATATCATTAAAGTTTTGATTAGATCATTTATTTATAAATATTTGAAATATTATTGAATTTTTGATAGTTTGATTTTGAGGTTTAAACTTAAATTGAGATTTTTAGAATTTAGAACATAATAATTTTATATTTAAAAATTTTAGAAAATCTTTTTTATTAAAATAAATAAATTGAAGGTCGTAAATAAATAATTGGTTTGTTAGAAGATTTTAAGTATTTCTAAAATACTTAATTTTGTGTTACGAGAGCTGCGAGAATTTAAAATAAAAATTAAATTAAATTAGAAATTTAACTAATATAAAGAAGTTTAATTAATTAGTTTATGTTAATATGTGGTT